AATGTACGGCATCCCTGGATTATTAAACAAAACAATAAGACCACTACAATTTTCATCACTAGACCAGTCTGTGGCTGCCATTTGTTTTTCCTGCTAGACAGTCAGCTAAATTTACTTTCTTGAGTCTACCCCTTGTCTTTGGATGACTGTGTTCATGTGACCATGGCTTAAGAGGACCTATTAGTTGCTTTTGAATTGCTCAAATCAGAATACCTGAGAGTAACAAAAGAGGAAGAGTGATTTATTTCGCATCTTGGTTTCAGCCCAGCATAGCAGGGAAGGTATGGCAGAGTGACTCTGTCTGTGAACACAGTGGCAATGTGCGACAGAAGCTGCTCTCATCCCATTGAGCCAGGGGGCAGAGGACAGGGAAATGGAGGTGCTATGCCGGCTTTATCCTTTGGCCACCTTTATTACTTCTGGGCTCATAATGCACAGGATGGTGCCACCTATGTTCAGGATTGATCTCTCCGCTCAGCTATTCTTTCTGATAACACAGACACACCCAGAGATGTACCTTGCCATATTCTCTGTATTTTCAAATCTAGCCAAGTCAACAATGAAAATCAGACCGCACAGAAGACTGATTCATACCTCAATCCTGGTAACTTGGCTTTTATTCTACAACATCAGGGCAATAGGGACCAAGCACAATGTTCATGACAAGCACATGGCATCATATTCATCACGGGGATTGTATCCTTTATTGATGCAGTTATATCTGTTTAAATACATGTGTTACAGCCTAGTCTTCTGTAATGAACTGCTTACTACCTTCAGCCACCCATTCACTAGCTTGCTCACTACTGATCTGCCCGATGACCTTCCACTCCATTCTCTTGTACATTACAAATTCTCAACCTGATGATACAGTGCTGATGTAGAAGTCCTTCAAAGTGACTGATCTTCTGGCTAATGCTCAGGCAGCCTCAGCTCTCATATTTTCTTATTTGAGTACGGTCATAAACAGTAGTTTCCAAATAGCTACCTCAATTATTTTAAAGTATGACCATGCTGTGTCAACTTCAGGGAGGGCCTTCCTATGGGGAAAAGGTACATCCTCTTCGATCCTCCATCTGAAATCTGCAATGAATCTAAATGACCTTGATGTGAAACTCTTTTTCCTACCTTGGAGAAGTCATCCTAATTTTGAGTTCTTTGGCTTTCTCTTAGATTCGTAATTCTCAACCTTCCTAATGTTGTGACCCTCTAATACTGCTGTGGTGATCTCTAGGCATAAAATTATTTTCATTGCTACTTCATAGCTTTAATTTTGCTACTGTTATGAATTGTAATATAAATATCTGATATGCAGGATATCTGATCTGTGACCACCGTGAAAGGATTGTTATTCCGCTAAGGGGTCATGACCCACATGTTGAGAGCCACTGTCTAAGATGACAGAAGATGACACATGGCAACCCTCCTGGACAGTTTTCATGTTCTTCCTATATCTAAGTCTGAACACTAATTGCCTGTTATATCCCGCGTCTCTTAAGCTGTCTATAAATTCCTCCCTACACTGTGTGTTCTACCACCCAGTTCATAGATGTGTGCCCTGCTCAACAACCCTGCAGTGCACAGTGTGCAAACCGATACTTGTTAAGCTCTCACCAATTGGGGTACCATTGCTAATATCTGTATTAATTCTCCAATCTCTGCAACTCTGAAGCATGATTGATAAAAACTCAACGAGTGATATTGGGGTTCATCTTGAAGATCCGAAAAGCAAAGCAGCCAGCCACTGGCTCTTACCTCAACTTCAGTCTGAAATGGCGATCCTGCTTCCAGAAATCTCAGAATGAGACTGTGTCTGTAAACTATCTCCTCCCGTTTTATCATCCTCTCTGGGGCTAGGATTAAAGGCGTGCACCACTAGGATTAAAAAGTATGCACTGCCTGGTTTCTATGGCAACTAGTGTGGCTACTGGGATTAAAGGTGTGTGTTACCACTGCCTGGCCTGTAAGATTGACCAGTGGGGCTGTTTAACTCTCTGATCTTCAGGCAAGCTTTATTTATTAAAATATAAATGAAAAGTCACTACACAAGTCTGTGACTTAGATATTAGTGCTATTCGCATTTTATGAGAAAAGGAGTTGAAGCTCAGAGCCACTTCCGCGTCCGTCACCGCTACAGAAGACATCTAGGGAACAAACTAAGAGCTGCCTAGTTCTCAAACCATAAGGATAGGCTGTTTCCTCACATATTTTCAAACAGACCCTTTAAACCTAGAAACTTAATATTTTTCAGTCGAAAGAGCATATGTTGTGAAACACAATTTGGAGGCTCAGACACCCAAAGTAAATGGCTGATCTAGTCCCAGATTTAGACAATGATTTCTCATGCCCGCTTTTCTAGCTTGGATCTATTAATTTGTTATTTTTCCCTATGATAAGAAGTGTTCTTTCTGTTCAAGTGCTGCTGATTTGGAAGTCATTCTCATGACTAAATATTTGTTCGCCTGTCAGAGCCCAGGCTGGGGCTCTGCTACCAGTAGGTGCTCAATAAAGATAAATGGAGGGCTGCGTAGGTCTCTGTGGGAGTCCTGCACTTAGGATCTGCTTAGCTCCTCGAAAGCGGAAAGATGAAGATCGCAGATCATCACCCCACTACACTGTGGACTGAGCTACATCAGCTGAAGCATCCCAAATGCTCAGTTGCAGCAGTGAGAACACCATTCGTGTTTTCCCTCTTTTCAGAAACAGTGAGGGATGCTGTGAAAACGAGACAACACAGCCATTTTGAAGACTAATATCAAATATGAGGGAAAACTAGATTTTCTGATGAGCATTGGAGAAAACTAAATATTTTTAATTGACACATTTCCTATTATTGCCCATATATATATATATATATATATATATGTAAAGATGAGTAATAAGCCACATCAGATGTTTTTTTTTCAAGCTGCCAGAACAAGAGATGAAGCAAAAGTAGCTCTCCAGAGAAGTTGCTGTGAACCCGAGCAGTAGAAAATGACAGTAAGCAGCCATACGTTCATTTACTACCTAGTCATCCCTGAAAATCGTGAAGAAACAAAAGCTGTCTTCTTCCAAAATACATGATGGGGTATTTCTAGAAGAGAAGGAGGAGGACAACGGCTTCAGCTTACTTCAAAAAGAAAAGAAGAAGCCACATGCTCATGTGTGCACTCAGAAATGCTCCTTGGACAGAGTCTGTCAGCCTTGGGACTTAGGAGTTCCGTGCCTACATTCTGAACAAGCAGCACTGGACATCTCCAGAAACCTCAGCCGAGTTCTAAGATGTCAGAGCACTTGCCTGCAATGTCAAACTCGGAGTTGTCTTAAAAAGACATCGGTAAAGGAATGGCTCATGTTACCGTCCTGCTCAGGCTGGGCTTGATGTACTAATAATTTGTAGAGATCGTCTTAGTGAGCTCACCCAATGGCCCTGACTCTGCGCAGGTCTGGGTCTTCCCATCTGCAGGAGAAGATGAAGCCTAATTTCTCAGGGCTGATCTTGACTCTAGTATGCCACATTCTCTTTGTGAATTCTCTTATGGAATGAGCATCTCTAATGGAATAGCCCTTTGTGTCCCATCCCAGGCTATCGATGAGTATTTCTTTACCTTTATCTTTTAAAAACTCCTTTTTATTTCAAACATCCTTTCTACCAAACTCCTTTGGTAATTAAGAAACTTTATGAATTGGGGGTGTTTTGGAACCTGAAAGAAGAGCTTGTTTCATTAGTATATTTCTTTACACTGTGGACATGTATCGTAGCTTACCAGTTTCTCATCCCAGAGAAAGAGCTTTGAGAAGAAGCAATCAAAAAGGTGTGTTTGGGAGGTCGGTGTTCGTATTACGGCCTGGAATGATTGGTCTCTGTGTTTGTTACTTAAAAAATATAGAAATCGGGTAGCTCACATGAACAAAAACTTACAGAATATATATGCCAAAGGTATTGATGCACATTTATAAAAACCATTATCCTAAAATGAGAGTTGAGGTTTTGAGAGTTGGAAGGCCATTTCTCATTACCGGTAGCTAGAGCCCTAAAGGCAGCCTGGTTGGTGGTGAGAGAGCGTGAGGCAGCCCTACCATTGGAAAGAAAGCCCAGTTCTTTAGTGTTGACTCTCCCTGAAAACCCTCAAGGAGCTGCTGACATTCCTCTCCAAGGAATCAATGAATCCGTTTCTATCTGTCTGCTCCCTTGACCTTACTTTGTTTTGAATCAGAGAAGAAGGGAATTAACTGTTGGGATGGGGAATGTGAGGAGAGCCTGCAGCATTTTGAAGGAGATGCAGTGCTGAGGGACCTATGTGCAAGACCACCATTTGCTGATAGTCACCCAGGATTTATTACTTGTTTGTTATATTATTATTTGTTCCTGTTTCTCATTTCAGATTCTCACCCTGTTGTAATAAGTAACTGTCTTCCCAGCCATCATTCCATATTGACAAGCAAATGTCACCCGTGTTTGATTGACATCTATTGCTCCTGAATGCAGAAGTATGATTTAGGAATCAATTCTACTTATTTATTTTAAACCATTCTTATGTGTCAAATGTATTTGTTGGTTGTATAACCCTCCTAATGCCCACTCTGGGGTCTTCTATTGATATTCTAAATTCAGATGGTTTCTTCATCCAGCGCTTCCACTGTTAGGGGTGGTGGCTTTTCTTTGTCATAATTTTCTACTTCCCCTCCCCCAATTCACATCTGGGAAATGGCTATCGCACCTACAGAACTCTCTCTGTGTCTTCTGAAACCTGGCACTTTTGCAAACACCATTTGCTTTATTGTAAGACCTTCGAAGGCATAGGGAAAGTGATTATTTCTCCTGCGTATTGCATCTTTAGGCAAATGCAACTCTAAGTCCAATGACGGTATGACAGAATATTCTGAAGGGTAGCTGCGATTGGAAGCCCGTAAGTCAAAACGCTCATTGTTTGGCACCATTGTGTGGCACGCATAAGAAAAACCAGCCCTCCTCCTTTTGGGCGGTGGACATGTTCATTTAAATCAAGAAATGTCCCTCGATTTTTAAATACACTTTACTGTTCTCGGGGTAACATCTTATTTCATTTAGGAGGCTGTGGAAGCAAATGCTAAGGTTAAAAAAACCGCACATCTACTGTCTGGAAAAATTGGAAAGGGCCCTCCTTATGTTAAAAGTGGCATTTGAAAAACACCTGAAGCACTGATTGTGGATGAGCCAGGAGAGAAATATTGTCACCAAACCTCCCGCCTTTCAACCTTCACTTCCATCGCCAACAAGGGCTGCTGGCTCTTGGGAAATAGATTTAGGTGTGACCCTTGAGTCCTGAGAGCTGTCGCACAGCTGTCTCACTCCCTTAGTATGTCCTGTTAGGGCGCTGCCATCGCCTGGGTTAGATGAGGGAGTATTCAGGATTTCACTGTTCATCCCTTGCAGAGAGGGAAAAAAAAAAAGAGAGGCCGAAAAAAAAAATCCCACATTGTCAGAGTAATGCCAAACTCTGTGTGAGTGGGATGAGCAGAGCAGATGCTGCAGAGAGATGCCAAAGCGGCTCCCCTTCCTCTGTGCCTTGGGTTCCTATAAATTGCTCCGGCGCGCGTTTGTCAGCCTCCTCTTCTCCTGGCAGGTGGTACCCAGGCAGAATTCTGCGTTCAGCCTCTCTCGCTCGGCTCTCGCTGCTGTTGGCTAGCTCCAATCTCCAACCCTGAGCCTCTCTGAGCCGCTGATCGAGCACACCGGCACCGCTCCGCACATCTCGGGGGCGCCCGACCTGAGCTCCCTCAGCCCACTAGGGGCTTTGGGGTTGCGATTCTGTTAGAACTGCGGTGGCTGCAAAAGAAGAAGAAAGAAAGAAAGGAAGAAAAGAGGTAAGGGACAAACCCAGCCAGAGAAAGAAAAGAAACAAGGTTCAGGAAAAAAAAAGGCAACTTCAGACGGAAAGTTGGTGCGAACTGGCGCAGTCTGCAAAAACGGAAAAGTCGATCACCGACAACAGCACCATAAAAGTGTGAGCCGCCCGGGGCGAGCGCAGGAGGCAGCGGCTGGCTCTGCCCGCCGGGTGGGGTGGCCGTGCCCGCACCCGCGGCAGCTACAGGTGCGAAGGGGCTGGCTGGAGGCGAGAGGGCGCCCTGAGCACCCCTCCCCCAGCCCCCACCCCCCGCTCGGGACTTCAGATCAAGTCACTTGGCGCCCCAGCTCCCTCCCCAGCCGCAGCCTCAGCGGGGGGAGCAAGAGCCGGAGAAGAGCGACCGGCGCGCGCCCGCCCAGGGGAGTTGGGGTTCGAAGGGGGATTGTTTTCGGCTCTGAGGAGGTCCCCGCCCAACCTTCAAAATTTTGTCCAAAAGCAGACAAGAGGATCGGCCCGCGCTGAGCCGGCTCGTGGGCAGCAGGAGGCGCCTAATCGCAGCCGGGGCGCTGGGGGTGGTGATGGTGCTTCTGCTGGTCATCCTCATCCCGGTGCTGGTGAGCTCGGCCGGCACGTCGGCGCACTACGAGATGCTGGGTACCTGCCGCATGGTCTGCGACCCCTACGGGGGCACCAAGGCTCCCAGCACCGCCGCCACTCCGGACCGCGGCCTCATGCAGTCCCTCCCCACCTTCATCCAGGGTCCCAAAGGCGAGGCCGGTAGGCCGGGGAAGGCAGGCCCGCGTGGGCCCCCCGGAGAGCCCGGACCACCTGGCCCTGTAGGGCCCCCGGGCGAGAAGGGCGAACCTGGCCGCCAAGGCCTGCCTGGCCCGCCTGGAGCGCCCGGCCTGAACGCGGCTGGGGCTATCAGCGCGGCCACCTACAGCACGGTGCCCAAGATTGCCTTCTACGCTGGCCTCAAAAGGCAACACGAAGGCTACGAGGTGCTCAAGTTCGACGACGTGGTCACCAACCTCGGAAACCACTATGATCCCACTACGGGCAAGTTCACCTGCTCTATCCCGGGTATCTACTTCTTCACCTACCACGTCCTGATGCGCGGAGGGGACGGCACCAGCATGTGGGCTGATCTCTGCAAAAACAACCAGGTGAGCGCGAGCAGGCAGTGGGGAGGGCGGGGAGCGAGTGCAGGAAGGTGCGAGCAAGAGGGAGGAGACCCCGGAAATGGGGGTGGGAGGCCGCGAAGGAAGGGCGCGGCAACCCGGCTCCCGGGAGCGAGGGCTAGGGGGACTCTGTGACGTGCTGGAGAGGTGGGGGTCGTACGCGGAGGAGCCCGAGGAGGGTGGTAGTAGGGTGTCAGATCCGTGCTCGGCGCGCGCAATTGTGAGCACGACCCTCGAAGGGTGAGAAACTGGGAACTTGACTCTGGGACAGCTCATGTAAAAGGGGAGTCCTGGAGCAGGGCAAAATTCCTGGCCGGTGAAATCCTCAGCGGCTTAGAGTCGTTTACAGCGTTCCCTGAGAATGTAGAAGGCTCCTGGAGCCCGAAATGGGCGTGTCGGGGCTCCAGAGCCAGGGGAGATAGACCTGGACCCCAGGGAGGAAAGTAGGACCCGTAAGAGTGAGTCTGAGATAGCACTCCCGGGCTCAGCACTTTGTCGCGCGTGCATAACGGCTTGGTCCTCTGGAGGTCTTAGGCAGTGAAACTCAGAGTCACTTTACACTCACTCCAGTTAGTTTCCAAAGGAACGACTGCTGGACAAAGGAAAAGTTGGGTTTAGGCTGTAGAAGTACAGCAGCTCGCACCCAGACTCGGGAACCCCACTCCACTGTTTGGAATAGGAAAATACACAGGGAGGCGGTTGGAAGGTGGCGGTTCAGAGTGCAACATTTTCACGATCGTGGAGACCCCCGGGGTACTCTGGTAGGTGCTTTCTAACCCTAACCTTCTCGATTGCAGCCGCCTTGCCTTGGCTGTCAAATAGCATCAGATGAGCTCCAGCCCGGAGCTGCTCTTCAGAGCTAGTGGGAGGTGCCACAGAGGCCACTGGTCTGCAGTCCGCCAAGGATACTCTGCCTTTGCTTAGAGTCAAAGGCAAGTCAGTGCAAAACCGAAGAGGTTTGATCTTTTAGCCACAGGAGGAAAATACACTTCTCCCCAAAAGTGTAATCGGACTTTCTGCTCAGTCCAAGTCGCTGGCACCAGGGTGAGGCCTTGGCACTTGTAAGCCTGTTGTGTGAACCTAGTTCCTGAGCCTAAACTTTGATTACCGACTGAGAGAAAGAAAGACCCCGCCATAGCCCTCAAGATGCCTCATTTCAGGCAGTAATTTTAACTTCACAAGAACAGGTGGGCTACAGGTCTTCAGTCCCCCGGAAATCCGGATTTTGGCTAAATCCCAGTCCTCTACTGAGCACCTTGTTTTGTTTGTTTGTTTGTTTGTTTGTTCATTTTATCCCATCTCAAGACCCAATTGAGTACCATAAAATTTTCAAAATTAAAAACTGAATGTCCTAAATGTATGATACACTTTTTAAAAGTCCCTTGCTTCCTCTTTCCGGCAAATCCCTTAAAGAACCCCCAAGATACTAGCAACAACAACAAAAAAGAAACATGGCCACCAGGAGGCACTGACAGGGTTGTTCCTTACAGTTATTATGCATGAAAATAACACTAAGATAGATAAAAATTGTTCCTGGAACAGTGGGCGCAGTATTTGCAGGTATGTGGTTACAAAGATAACCATGCCAAAATAGAAGTGTTGTGTCTGCCTGACCAAAGGGCTTACGAATGCCACCCCTCCCCACCCTCCAGCAGGTAGCCATAGGGCACTTTTTTTAAAATTTATTTATAAATTGACTCTGACTTAAAAGTTGGGTCCATAAAACACTACTCCATTGGGGGGATATTTTTAGAGTCACCCATTGAAATGCACTAAAATTCCTGTTTGGTCAACAGATATAGAAATGGTAATTTTTAAAATGTTTGGAGATTGCAAAGGCAGGAAGTCCTAGGAAGGACCACAATGGAGTTAGTTGAGACTCTGGTGCTTAGAGGGTAGAGTCTGGCATACATCCATGAGGCAAAGGATAGCATTCTGTATATGGATTCTAAAGTGAAAACATGCATGTGTTTTGTTTTTTAAACCATTTCATTGGGACATGAGCTGCCCTCTGTGTCACCCGAGCATACAGATTCTCTGGGGATCGGGAAAGCAAGGGGATAGAGCACCTCTAATGCTCTTCACTGGCTGCTTATCCAGTTTCTGCTACTTCCAAAAGTGGGTACCAGGTACTTCAGAAAAGCATATGACTAGTGACAAACAGCATCCTTCTTAGGTCAGTGTGGGCCGTCTTAGAAAAAGGTTATGGCAATATTACAGCTAAGGAGTTTTGTCTTTAGAATAAAACTGCTTTGTAAAGTCTGGGCTGCAGCCAGGGCCAAGTGGGAAATCTTGTAAAATCTCCTTTTTATTAATTTTAAATAAATATTTTATTCTTGATTTTCAATTATAGTCGGTATGGTTGTTTCTTACTACCACGGTTCCCCCTCTGAGCTGACCTAATTTGTTTTTATAAAAACAGAAACTTAGAGCTCCATGTCAGAGTGGTGTTCTGTGGATTAAGTGGGTTGTGAGCAGCACAGAGATGAAGCACCGAGGGAAGAATGCGGTTTTTCACTGTAGGAGGGGGCAGTGTCTGGATCGGAGCCATACGAGGGCCATCTTATTTATGCTTTGTGCTGAATGTAGGGTCACAGATGGAAACATCAAAGGTCAATAAATTAACCTGATGGACCACTTAACCTTTTGTGTATGGTTCCATGGGAGTGCAATGAAAATGAAATTACCAGAGCATCAGTTGCAATTAATTAAATTAGCAAATGTTACTGTAAATATTTTGTACAATGATAATCCCTCAAGAAAAAGACAATGCTAAAACTATACAGCCTATTATATTCTCAAAAACAAACCTATCACTCCCTGTAAAGGACCATAGTTTTCATATTCCCCATGAAACCATTAGCGTACACTTAATTGTATCAATTGTGGAGAGACCATCATATTGCATATTAAAGGTAAAAAATGGAGCTAAAATAGCTTTATATAGATACAGGAAGAATTCTTAATGCTTGCATACTTGTAGTTAAAGACCTGGAAAAAATAATTTCTGAATATAGTTACTGTAATGTCATTATCGCAAGCCAGCATAATAAAAACTAAATTGCCAGAAGATTAGTCATATAAAATAATTAGAGATAAGCCTTTTGCTCACAAGAATTTATTAGTTATGGTAACAATGGACGTGAACTACATCGGAAAGAGTGAATATTGTGTGGTTTTATACTCATTTGTCAGAAAGAGTGATGATGTGCCACGCCAAATTTGTTCTCTCTTGAGAAGCAGAGACGCACATACTAAAGATAAGGCAGAAATGATACAGTTAACATACTAAGAAAAAGATAGATATTAAAGAGAATTTAGGAAGAAGTAGATATACCGGGCTGAGAAAAGGATGCATTATACTCCCTGATAAAATGCTGAAATAGGTGCACATTTCGGAACCTGAAAATAGCCTTCAGGGTGAACACATTACCTTCCTCAATAGTTTGATGGCTTCAAGGAAGAATTGTTGAAGTCAGTGGGATACATATCAGAGCTTGAAATTCCAAGTCCCATTATACTCTGAGAGTGTGACGGGTGGGCAGGCTTACTGACATCATGGACACTGGCAGATGGTGGGTATTTAATTGAAAAAGTCCTTTAGCGTTGCATAGGTTAAATTCTTAGGGAATTGCTCTTTATTATAAAGCCACCATACTGGCCTTTTACAACAAAGGAAATAAAATATGATAAGGGTAACCTTCTTGTCTGTGGAATCACACTAATGGATTAGTAGGATTCTGTGGCTTTACCTACTGAATTAAAAATGGTAATGCTACTTGGCTTTGTGGCTATATTCTATAGAATAAAAACTGTATTGTATGTTTTTAAAAGATTACAGCCTCTAAATTAAAGATTTCAATGAGTCCTGGTTCCTAAAGGTTTCATGTAGAAAACAATGATAATGGATAACATTCATAGAACATATACTAAATATTGAAAATGCTGAATAAACCATATTTTCATTAATAATAGCTGAGAAGTATAATAGTTTGATGGTTAATTAACATATTGCTAATACAGATAATTTATAGTTTGTATTTTAATTTTTCACAGTCATTAAAAGTCTACATGTTCTAAAAGTCAAGCCATAATGGTGATATTCTCATTGTGTAGTTTTTCTTCACTGGGAGTTAATAACCAGATGAAATAAATGAACTAAAGCCTTCAGCTTCTACAAACTGAAGATTAATTCCTAGGAAATATTATGAACTCCAAATGCATTATTATGTAATGGTTAAAATGGATCACCTCACTAGTGGTGCACACATTTGAATCAAGGCTTTTTAGTATAATCACACAACATATTGGTTTCATTATATTAATGCCAGTTAGCATAGTGATAAGTAATTCTAAATCCTTTAAGCCCTTCTCTCCTTTTGCTATATGATACTTAGAAAGAAAAAAAATTAAAATACTGCTCAAATTACTTTCCAAGTTCAGTGGTGTCCAAGAGCCTTCTCCTTTTATGGCATTTCAGCATTAATGTGAGAACATATCTTCCCATGAAAATTTAATTTGAAAACCCATCAGTTAGAGTTTGAAAGACATGCATGGAAATTCTTGACTTATGTCTCATTTCTCTCATTTTGCCAAGTGATAAAACCTAGCATATTATACCCCAAGTCATACATTATTACACAGTGCAGGTTTACAAAAACCACTAAATCACTTGCTATGTTATTCAGGGAAATACCATTATAGCAGAACCGAAACAAGCCACAGAGTAGAAGATGTGTTACTGAAATAAATCACATGCAAGCCTGCCTTTTGAAAGATTGTTTCCCCCCATGGTGGAATCAAAATATGTCTAAGTGAAGTCGAAGGGCAGAGTGTGGCGAAATGTCTGTTTGACAAGATGGGATGGGCGATTTGACTGTCTGCAAATGTTCATCAACTCTCTAATGAGACTAAAGGCAGATCATAAGCAGATCATAGCCAGCTCCCATCCTCAGAGCCAGACATATTTACAATCACATGGTTAGGAAAAGCTAGGCAACAATACACACAGAAATCCTAGAGAACTGAGCAATCGTGGGTCACAAGTTTAATTCTTTCTAAAACTTTTGGATCTCATGAGATTATATTGTTGATTTAAAGGAATATGTGATTAAATGACAAAAAAACCCACTTAAAAGGAAGTTTGGAAGTGTGGGATAGATGAACAAAGACGTGGAAATGAGCTACGCTGCTTCTTAAAAAGCATGGTTAAAGGGGGCTTGGCTTGTATCAGGTTTCCAAAGCTCTAAACAAAAAATCTCCCCTGCCCCAACTATATAGCAGAGTGGTATTTCCCTATGTCTTTCGCCACCTGAGATATCAGTTTTCTAATAATTGTGATGAGCCATTGAAGTACACAGCTGGTTGGGATGTTGTTAATTGGCTTGAATTAAAATGCAAAACAATACTTTTCCATTTCCATTTCACAAAATGACTGAAAGTGGAGATTCAGGGAATTAGAAAAAGCAGTAATCGAAGGGAAAATTGGATTGGTATGCTTTATTTACGAGGATAGAAAAGATTGCTGCAATGTCCTTTACTAACGCAGTATTTTCTCTTCTCTAGTAACATAGTTGAAGGTGTTACAGAAATTCCTTCTAAAGCTGTGGGAACAAAGGCAGCATCACTGCTCTGCATTCTAGGCTAGGGTAGCAAGTCTGCTGTTATGCAAAAGGGGCGACTTGAGAATTCTCTTTTACAAACTCTAATTCTTGTCTGTTCCACATAGGTGCGTGCTAGTGCAATTGCCCAGGATGCTGATCAGAATTACGACTATGCCAGTAACAGTGTGGTCCTTCACCTGGAGCCAGGAGACGAAGTCTATATCAAATTAGATGGCGGGAAAGCCCATGGAGGAAACAACAACAAATACAGCACTTTTTCTGGATTTATTATTTATGCTGACTGATAATGCAGAAACTGAGCTTGCTGTTTTGAGTTTGGACGCTGGATTCGTATGACTAACGTCAGTGAATCAAGGATCCCGGGGGATGCCGATTGCAGGGCATCTCGGTTGTGTAAATGTGGGGAGATCAAATGCTACCTGACTCACATCTGTATCACTCACACACATTATGTAAAAAAGTATTTAAGGCAAGATAAGCAGATGTGTGATCCACTACCGCCAAAGCAAATACTCCTTATTGTTAGTGTCTGTGTGAATGAAGTCCTATAGAGACCACAAATTTTTATAGAAAAATCTAAGACACTGAATTATTTCTTCGATATCTATAATACTTTGGTGTACTGTGATCTTGCTGCTTTTATCCATGTGTCAGCTTTGGTTCTTGTGAGTTTACCTGCTTATTAAGATACCTGGAGTCTCTTTGTAGTGTGGGGGAGGAGTCATTTTACCCTGCAAGAGAAGGTCTAATTGAAGTAATGCTGCTTGTCCCCAAAGATATTGTTTGCCTTGTACTCTTGTTAACTTTAGAGTTAGACCTGGGAATGATTCAACTTCAAGCCTTAACCTGGAATTTTCTGGATTTGTGGGAATTCCCAAGCCTGTGATCATTTTCACATTTTTTTCTTTTTATGTGATTTTTCTTTTTTCTCTTTTCTGGTGATAGTCTTAAGAAAATAGAGATTGAAATTGTATCATAGGATTACCCTCTAAGTGTGAAAATGTGTAGTTATGTATGGTACTTAGAAAAATTCCACGTGTCCATTTCGTCAGTAGAATACATTTAGACTCACTTGAACAGTCACAGAAATTTATTCTTTGGTATGAAGTCAGATAGAGGCTTTTGCCTTCTCTGGAACAAAGGATTGTTCGTAACCTAAGGCATAAAGGTTTGATTTGAGCTACTGCATGCGTCATCAAGGGGACAGTAAGTAAGGCCTCAAACAGTTACCGAAAAATCTGTGGCCTGAGGTTATTTCAAAATTAACAGTTTCACATAGAACCAACATGACAACAAAGTGTATATATTTTATATAAATATCTGTCACACACTTATTTATATACATATATGTTAGATGAAATATTATATATACATTGCTTCAGTCCACTAGGTACAGTGGCTGTACAGCTCATAAAGCTAATTTAAAAAGTATATATGTATACACACAGAACCATGCACAAATTATTTGGCTTATTTTAGATTGAACTATATTTTAGATGATACAAATATATAGAGTAGCAAAATAATAAAAGTGAGTTCTCTTTAAGAGTTATCCAGAAAATGAAATCTCAGTAGATTCAAATGCCCCACAAGACACATGTGTGAGTTAGTCGATCCCATGATTGCTGTATTCCATGTGCAATCGATATTTGAACTGCCTTCTCTGGCAGGCCGTTAATAAGGGGCTTCAGGATTCAAGCAGAGCTCCTTCACGATGTTTATGGAACATACACATGTGAGCCGTCAGTTCTTTCTGGAGGATTGAAGCTGACCGTATAGTGCAAACCCATTCTCTCTAGTTAAAACACTGCCAAACGCTAGCTCTTATCTAAGGGAAAGATCAAAATGCATGAGAATACTTCCTCCTAGCACACAACTTTCCCTCTTAACATGGAAAATCTGTTTCCCTTTTAATTGCCTTTAAACACTCTTTGACAAGTAGATTTCAAAACCAGAGATCTGAAAAAATCTGCTTGCTTTACTGGTGAAGGACATTTGCATTTTTCCCTTTAAAGGAATTGGGCTGTTCCCCTGGCTCGCTTCACTTCAGCACTTTTTGTTCTAATACACAGAGCGCTTGATCAACTATGATCAACTGAAATAGCTTTAGTTCAGCAAATCTCAACTTTCCAAGAGTTATGCATGGTGTTCCCATCTAAAGGTGGTGTTTGCTGTGTTTAAATGCCTTGGTCTGAGTAACTGTCATGATTTATATGATTAAAAAAACCACTTAGATCATTCATCAGAAGTAGTGACTAATTCGATTTGGCCCTTCTAATATGTATGGTAACTCACAAATGAATTGCCACAGTTTTAATTTCTATTTAACAGCATATATTTATCAAAGATGGATTGGCGGCAAGGGATTAGATTTGTCTTAGGTATCAAATCACATAGTGAGGATTCAAGGGATTACTGACAAACAACAGTGTACACCAATTACACATTTTAAATAACATTTTGAAAGGCTTTCTTTGTAAAGAACTTCATAGCTGGATCTCTTCTAAAGAGGAGTATTTACAAACAGACTGTCATTTCCAATAGACCTGACCTTTTCTTAGATAAATAAGCATTATTTTCTCTGTTTAGGCCTGAGGAAAAAGAAATAAAAGGTAAATGAAATAAAGGGACTATATCTAAGGCAAGCATTTCTCTTTTTCTTTGCATTATAACTTATGAATTAATTAAATCGTGGCCTTTGTTATTATTACTGTAATGATTCATTAAACTATATTATGTAATATATTTTCATTTTTATGATTTCATTTTTATAACTCACTATGGTTATGGACCCTTAGACAGACTTTGCAAAAACAACACAGTTAACAGCAAAAATGGAGACTGGAAAGCCAAAGTCAGCAAAACTGATTTATTATAAGTTTACATAGATAGATGGAAAACACAGTTAACTTTTCAAAAAATATTTTTATTGTTGTAAACTGGTAATTTTATTGCCATCTCCTTTGGGAAAGAGAGTCTCAAAATTTAACTTCCCTTGCTGCAAAAGTGATTTTAAAATGCCATATTATTCATTAAGCATTAATTAAAGAACAGCAGGATAATTAGTAGGATCATCAATATTACAAGAAACATTAGATTGCTCCAGAAGGGGGCAACTTAACTAGAAACACTTTAATTTTTCTCAAGTAGTGTAGATGAGAGTCGAGGGGGTGGGTGGAAGACATCCAAAGTGACTCTTGGGAGATATAGATGTTTAGGAACATATTCTTTTGTATTTGTTTTATTAAGGTAAAGCAATAGGACTCACTTGAGCCCAGTAGTCCCCACCAGAGATTTCCCTGTGATAGGTATCCAGTTTCTCATAGGAGGGAAGTGATCAGTCACTGGTCCCGTGTAGCTTGGATTAACGTCTCAGAGGAGATTTGAAATCACTGAATATCCTCTGCAAATCTTATCCCGGAGGCCTGTGTTCAGAAACAGCCGCCCTATTTAAAAGTTAGCCATCGCCTAGGGTTTTCTATGAGGATTTTATCAACGGCCCTCTGAGCTACTCCCCTAAGGAGCATCTTAGGAACAATGTTGGTGAGAATATGTGAGTAGCCATGACCTCCGTACTTCATCAGTCGGTGCTTCGTGTGTATGTCATGTGCCATGAGAATCCGATCTTCGTAGCCCTCATCCACCAGGAAGCGGACCCTAGGAAAAATACATTAACTCGTAACAGGTCATCAGGCTCACATTTTAGACGATAACCCTTCACTCCGGAACACACTGTGCTTGTAAAGATTCTGCCTTTCGCTGCGGCATATGGACCAGGAGATTCTAAATGAGCGCTGTGTGGCAAAGATGCAGGTGTTACTTCACGTCAATATGAATGAGATCCTTATTCTGAGCACACAGCCATTTCTACCCGATGATATTTCTGACAGTGTCTGCCAATGCTGCACTGAAGAGAGCTTACAGGGGTCAGACCGTTTGAATGAATGGCCACAATAGCAGTTCATTGAATAATTTTATATTCAGCTCTCCTCCCTAAAATGCTTGTCTTAGTCTCAATTCTGAAATACCATTCTCTCTCTCCCCTTTTAAAGTCAGTGGGCGTTTGTGATTAAAATATAGAAACAAAAGGATTCTTCATGTGAATAAAATCCTGGGAGTAAGATCAGCTGATTGTCAAGTGCAAGGCCCATGCCATGTGGTTGTGCAGTCAATGAAGACAGGCTGGCGAAGTTCTCTGTATTCGAGCCATCTGGTCCTCTGAACACAGGAATTCTGACTTAGTGGTAGTCTCTGAGCATTAGAGGGAACTGACCAGAAATTTTTTAGTCTACCTTCCTTGTCAACAGGACTGCTAAAATAACAAGCTGCTCCTTTAAATCCATAGTCGGTTGACTAAAAGACAGCTCCCTGACTGTAAAAAATAAATTGAAAAAAAAAAAGTAATCCTCTTTTCCTAGTTAAGAGCTGTAATCTGCAGCATGAGTCACCTCCTGACAGCCACCATCTGTACGTGTCTGCACTCTGGGCAGTGTCTGTCCCTGACCGCTGTGGGCCTTTGATGTCAGAGGTACAACTTGTGAATGATGACTTTTTTCTGGGATTTTGTACAGTCTTGTGAGGATCGACTATCAAACGGATGTAGGTAGGTGGATCACACTCTTTCTCTGGGGCTTGACTGAAAACTCTTGTTTTGATAGATAGATAGATAGGATCATTTCTTGGTTTTCTCAGGCATGAGTCCTGTCTAATAACTACGGTGGTACTCAAGGGACACTACAAACAAAAATCCATGGCACAAAAGCCTGCCCTCTGAGAACTTTTAAACTAAGTTACAATTGAATACTAGACCTCTCTGAAGGTCAAAGGAATGTAAGCACCATAGCGAAGAACCAGTCTGGGTACTCGGGGAAGAAACCAGCATTCAGCAGGCACACATGGATGCCACGTCTGTCTTACCGCAGCATGGCACCCATAATCTCAATTATGCCACTAATGCTATTTGGCTTGCTAAAATTGGTCCTGAAGTCCTGATCTGCAGTTACTTTTTGAAAAACCTGTAGTTCCGGGGGGATTAGTTAAGATCATTTGTATGATCATTTATCATACAAAGGGAGACGTTTGATAGAATACATGTGCAATGCGGAGCCCAGGATGATACTGATCAGAATGGAATGTCACAGTAAGGGGAGCTTTTTGGGTGCACTTGCTGCCTGATTGATTTTCCTGAGCAGTTCTCAGGGTTGTACATATTTCCTTATTATCTGAGAACTGTATCTCCTGTTGCAGGTGTAGCTCCGAAAAGCAGGTAGAGCTTAGGCCTAATGCATCACAGGCTCTGGGCTCAGTCCCCAGCACTGCCTAAAAGGATGTGGTGGAAGCACACAGGTCTGTAATGGAATCCCACCCAGAGGCTGACGTTGGGGGAGCTAGAGTGAGACTTCAGGATTACCGGGCCTCAGGCCACATCAGGGTTGCCCACCTGACCTGTTTCAAATTTCGTTTCCCCAAAACAAGAAAAGAAAAGCTGGGTCATTCCTCCTCAAGCTGAGGCTGTGGCTCAGCAGTAGAGTCATTGCTTCTCTGAGAATATTGATGTGTCATTACTACGACGACATACCTACAGAAAAATTCCTACAGCATACCTTTATCCCACCTTGAAACACAAGGCTCTTATTGGAAAGTTATAAGAGAGAATAATAGATAGATTAAATGCATCTAATTAAAAATGAGAACCATACAAAATTGTAACACCACCCCAGAAAAGGAGAAGAGAAACTTGAAGAAACTTCTCTCCCTATTTTGGTTAAACTATGAATAAATTCATTTTCGGGGGCAGGGAGGGGAGAAAACTCGTAGGAAGCACAATGCAGACAATGCGCCAGAGCTGTGTTATCTCATGGGCATGATAATGTTCTGGTTCCAGAAACACAATCATGCCGATCAGGAGCGGAATGCGCCTGGACGTGCCTACCCTGAGCTTCAACTCCGTTGGTACAGCACCGTGCAGAAGAACAGGCATTACAAAGAAGCTGCCAGAAGGGAGGAACTGCTACAGATGAGAAGACAAAAAAAAATCACAGCAATTATAGCAATACAAATGAGTTCATGTTTTGCAAACAAATATTAGAGAGAGACTACGAAGTGTGAAAAGGCAGAGATATAATAAGATTTGAGAAATGGAGCAGAAGATTGAAAACAGGTGTTAGACACAGAATTTCTGGTTCTGAGAACCAGAGGTAGGCAGAAGCGCGTGTCGACATTCCTGCACTTGGGGAGCTCCAGACTCCCCCAGCTGGGAAAAGACTGTCCATGAACGAACGACACAAAGCAGGTGCTCAGCTCATGGGGACAGTGCAGGTTGGGGATGCACACAACCCCAAAGGTTACTCAGTTATCATCACGAGCTGCGTAGACTGAACAAATGCACAGTATTAATTTAAGAACAAATAAGCAAGAAATACACAAGCATACATATAGCGTATACAGATATTTTTACAGGCTCACATATACACATTAGTAAATGTTTAATACATAAAGAATGCTTACACTGGCACGATAAGAGATAACCAAAATTAAATTTTTTGTTCTTGAATTAATAGTCCAACATAGTTAAGAAGGATTAATTGGAAAGTCAGTCATTATCACATCCCCCTTATCACCCCTCCCTTCTTGTTCCAGAAGGCCTGGGAACCTCACAGAAGTCACAGTGATGCAAAGACACACCCCATTGGCCGAAGAGCTTTAGAAAGAAAAGTCAGACCCAGAGTGGAAACCTCTCATTCCAAACTGAGTTTAAAATATATTGACATTCATCATAAAAGAGTTATTGAAGATCTATTTGAAAAAGAATTTGTGTGTGTGTGTGTGTGTGTGTGTGTGTGTGTGTGTGTAAGCACACTATGTGCATTCAGGTGCCTGTGGAGGCCAAAACCAGGTATCAGATTCCCTGGAACTATAGTTATAGGTGGTTGTAAGTCCCTGAAATGGGTGCTGGGAACCAAACTCCATCCCCATGAGACAGAAGCACTGTTAATTGCTGCGTCATCTCGCTAGCCCCATGTTTTGTTTTGTTTTGTCTTGTCTTGAAATAATGCTGCATAAGAATGAAGATCACATAAGAAAACACGTGGTATGGTAGCCTGCTTGTAATGCCAGCCATGGCTTGTGGAGTCAGGGGATCCCTGGAGCATGCTGGCTAGCTAGACTAGCTGAATCAGCAAACTTTGGGATCAGCAAGGGACTTGTTTCAGAATATAGGGCAGAGAGCCATGAGGAAGACACTTGCCATTAACGTCTGACTGCCACATACTCATGCATATATGTTCATGTGCACCCTGTGCCTCAAAGATGCATGCATATAACACAGGCATACAGAAAAAGGAACAAAAAGAGGCAACAAATTTGTTTGCCAAAGAACTAATTGAGTATAAAAACGGAAATGATAGTTTCGTTGGTGCAGTTGGAGGAAGTACTTGACTCACTTAGAGTAGTCTGCATGGTACACAACTAACGTAACCACATCAGCTAGCTGTCTCTACCAATGATACTGAAATGGAAGCATATTTTACTGTTCCTGGGATCACTGTAGGCAAATGCCAATATACAGCAGTCTAGGACCACTTCATGTGAGGGAGCGATCTTCAGCTTGTTTGGAATGAACATGGGCTTGGGATATCCTCTTCAGCCCCACTGTGTACATGTTCCACTGCTGATATCTGGCTCAGCTTATGGACATTATTTCTCAGTTTTAGTTTTGCTCATTCCCATTCCAGCAGCTTTCTACTCAAAACCCATTCTTTGGTCCTTGTTATCACAGGACCCCTCTCTCTGAAATCTTAGTCTTCAGCTTCCCATGTTGGCCCCTCATCCTCCTGGTAGTGTCTCCACTCACCTGCCCTACTGCATGCACTTACCCACTTCTTCAAAGTCGATAGCTTAACTTTTCTGTTACGTTATTTCTAAATATGTACACACTTCTTCATATCTTACCTCTAGCTTTGACTCCCTGCCCTTTGTTTTTCAACCGTTCCCCTGCTATCAACTGCAGCCTTCAAACAAACAAACAAACAAACAAAAACCCAATCCTAGATTTCTTTATATGTGCACATTTAATGCTTCTACCCACAGTGATCCACTAACACTATTACCAATATCAAAAACCTCCTTTGGGAAAGCAATCAGCAAACCATGAGCACTTGTGCCAACACACAGTCATGCAGCCATGATTTCCAGGGTTGAATGGGTCTCAGAACATGCATCCAACCCAGCACCCATTTCTACTCTTCCCTATGCTCCAAAAGGCCCTGCCTTTAATCTACCCCTTCTTTCTCAGGAGAAAAATCATGTCTGCCTCCCACCAAGACTGGAGAGCACAAAGGTATTTGGCTTCAGTTCTGGATATTCTTGCTAAGACACTTATCAACATTATTGTTTGTGTCCTGCTTTTCCAACACAAAGGAGAAATGCTCTCTTAAATCATGTTCACCCCACTCCCCAAATTCCACCTATTTGCCTCCTTAGGCACCTGACTCTACATTTCTTCTCTTCCCAGACATGTTTGTGTGAATATTCACTGAATATTTTCATAAGCAGTACCAGGCATGCATATAAAAACTCTGTGTGCTGCATTGTATGTTAACTGTGTATTAATCTCTTGGAATTACCATTCTTTCTTGGACATTTTCTTTCTGTCTCTGTCCCTCCCAACTTCTGATCTTAGCTTCATAAAGTGTTCAGTTTTGGAAAATGTTTCCATGGCCCACCTCTTGTCTTCCAGCACTGATCCACCTTCCTGTTTCTCTCTTCTACTGCAGTTTTGCAAAGAGTAGCTTCACGTTCCCTGCGTGCTTCCTAAGCATCTACTCATTTCTCAAACCTTCTACTGAGACTACATTTCCTGACCATCAGAGTCTCCTAATTTGCAATCCAGTTGTTATCCTTCAGCCTTGATCCTTCTTGATATCTGCTGCTTATTGTAGGTGTCCAAGCTTTTGGCTTAAGCCTGTCTTCTCACTGAGATCCATTACATTTCCCCTGGTGGTATCAGCTTGAAAACATGTCTTCCTACCTGTCCCTAAGATGCTATTACCAATTCCATCCATTCAGTACTTGTGCCCACAGGTCTCTTTCTTCTCTCCATGATCTTACATTTTCCCAAGATTTGAACAATTGATTATGCCTACTTTTATATCTCAGTCCAGATCCCAGCTCTGAGCTTCACACTCTGATATTAGTTATTATTTTAGGAATAACAATACTAAGATACTCCCAAAGTAAAGTCTTCTTTGTCAATCTCAGACATATTTCTCCTTTCTGACTCCCTATCTTGGTTCATTTAATCTTCAATCTTCATGCCACTCTGTGACCAAGACCAAACAACGAAGCCATCTTCAACTCCATCAAAGAATGAATGCTGTCATGGTTTGCTTTATCACACATTAGACAAAGTTGGGACGGTGTGATGCATGGTGTTGACATGTGGCATTTTATCATTTAAGTTGTAATCCCCACCTTAATGGACACATCTAATAAAGCATTTACAATGAGAGTTGCAGAAAATCTTGGCTTGAGGGAGATCAACCTGAGGAAGGAAGAACTGATTCCACTACGGGTAAGAGGGGAAATGGCTTTCGTTCTCTCTTTGTCATGGCAAAGGTAGGTCATTGCCTGTCCCTTGTCAGCTGTCCATCTGCACTGAGCTTCTAAGGCTCTGATAGCTTTAGCCCACTTACTATGACTCATTTTCCTCTTGCAATAATATGTAGAGATTTTCTCCCTGGAACAGCTCAGATAGGTTTTTTCCCTGCCAATGCTGCTTCAGCCTGCTTACCATTTTCCAAATCTTTGTTAATACTCACCCAGATATGACAAGCCCAAAGGACTGGCAGAAGAAAATGTGATGAAGGACTTCAGCATATTTACCTTTTAATTCTTTTGTTATCATTAGGCATGTCGATATCTGGGCTCAACTGGTAATTAAGGAGCTCCGTACCAAAGAGATCATATTCCAAGTAGCAGCCAAGTTCAGCAAAGTCCAGTAGCTCCTTCTTATTAAATATAGACCTAGAGACAATAAGACAGACATATTGCTATTGCTGTTATTAAAAACATATTCTCTACGTGTATTCTCTACATATTATATATTCTCTACATATTATATATAAAAGTATTATATATATAATACTTTAGGGACTGGAAAGATGACTGAGTGGGTATTGCCAAGCCTGATGACCCAAGTTCGGTTCCTAGGATGCTCATGGTGTAATGAAAGAACTGATTCTCACAACGAGCCTTCTGAACTCTGTACCTCATGGATGATCATGCCCACATACATACAAAAAATAAATGTCTTAAAAACCATGACCTTTATTATGTTCAAGTTCAATTAAACTGAGTGCAATTAATTACCAGAAATATGGAAGCATATCTAGAAAATGAAGTTACCTTTCTACAGTCTTTAGGAATTAGTCCTTACATCCATCTTTCTGCTATTAGCCAAGCAGAATTTATAACTCTCCTTCAGAATGGTTTTTAGGATGTGTTCCATATCCTTCCAAAAATCTTTACTAGCCTGTACTGAGCTATGAAAGCTATTAAATGTATTTGGTATCTGTTCTCACCAGACCAGTTAGGTTTGTAAATGCCAGTCTGGCTGAAACAGGAAGCTCTTGCTGCATGGCAGCAGTAGGGTGATTTTCATGAGAAATGACTCCGAAATTAACTCCAAAGCCTATGTGAGGTGAGTGTCATTGCAACTGTTTTGAAAGGGGAAATATCCACAAAAGCAATACATTTAGGGCTGGGGAGATGACTCTGTCTGTGAAGTGCTTGAAGCAGAAGCATGGGGACCTGGGTTCAGATCCCTAGCAACAGAAAAGGCTGAGTGCAGACGCAGTGGATCTGTAGCCCTAGGGCCGGAACAGGGGGTGGGGAATAAGGGGTAGTGGATTAGTAGACTCCAGGATCTCAGTGGCCAGCCTGTCTGAATTGATGAGGCCCAGTCCCAATGGAAAAACAACAACAACAAAAAATCCAAAAACAAAACACATGACTCAAAAAATAAGGCGGAGAGTGACTGAAGATGACACTCAACATCAACCTCTGGCATCAGAGGCACATGTCCATACATG